TTTCCTCCAAATTTGATCATCCAAATTTGATCATTTTTCACTCCTTTCATCATGTTTCATCCATTTGATTGTACCTGAAGGAAAAACACACAAATACCTTTCATTAATATGCAATATCCTCAAACATAGGTATAAAAATATGTACATAAATACTATATATTTTAGGTGTTTCAATGACGCCTCTCGAAGACTGTATAATAACATACCCCAAACATGATGCAATGACAAGCCTTGAGACATTATAATAATGTGCCCCATGCATGGTGTGATAACGTCAACTATAGTTGGTGTAATTACACATCCTAAGTACGATGCATTGACAAATATCGATCACGGTGTAATAATGCTCCCCAAATATAGTACAATGATGACTCACACAGATGGTGTAACAATTTCCCATAAAAAAGAGTCTTTCTTCAAACTCCTAAGGCTCTCTCGTTCCAGCTCACCACTACGACCCACATGACCAACTATGACCTATGTGGCTCACAGTTTGTGTAGCTCCCAACTCCGGCCACTGCGGTCTATGGACATCATCACGTCTCACCATTACAACCTACATAACCAATTATAGCACACACAATTCATAATCTGTGCAACTTTTGAATTTTCTCATTGTGGCCTACGAACTTCATTACAACTTATAACTACAACCTACGTGACCAACTATAATCTACGTGGCTCACAACAAGTGCATCGTCGACTCTGACCACTGTGGCTTACTGACGTTATCATAACTCACCACTACGGCTTACGTGCTAATTATGACCTACATGGTCGAAGGCTCATGCAGCTCATGAATATGGTCTTTGTAGCCTACAAACATCATCACAACCTCGCTACGACCCATGTGACTAACTATGTCCTGTGTGGCTCATATACCTCATGTAACTTTTGAGTCCAATGCATGCGACCTCCGGATGTCATTATATCTCATCACTCTGACATACGTGACCAACTACAACTTGTGTAATCCACAACCAATGGAACTCTCAACTTCAACTCCTACGACCTACAATCATCTTCATAGCTCATTACTTACAACCTACGTGGCTCATAACTCGTGCAGCTCACAAATCAGGCCTCTATGGCTTAAGGAATTCAACACAACTCACCACTATGGTCTAAATGATCAACTACGATTTATGCGGTTCATAACCCATGCAGCTCTCGACTCCATCTTCTATGGCCTATAGACATGATCACAGCTCCCCACTACTGGCCACGTGATCAACTACGTCCTATGTGGGCCACATATTATGTAACTCCTGAATCTAACCATTGGGCTTATAGATGTCATCATAAATCACTACTACAACATATGTAACCAACTACATCATATGTGGCTCACAACTCATACAGCTTCCAACTGCGACCACTGCAGCCGATTGATGTCATCGCAACTCACCATTATGAGTCTATGTGACCAACTACAACATACGTCATCCACAGCTCTTGCAGCTCTCGACTTCAGCTCCTGCATTCTACGGATGTCATCATAACTCACCACTACGACCCACGTGACCAACTACGACCTATGTGGCTCACGACTCGTGCAGCTTCCAACTTCGGCTCATGTGGTCTACAAACATCATCACAGCTCACCACTATGACATATGCAACCAACCACTACCATGACTTTTAACTACGACCTATATAACAATCTGGCCCAACAACCATCTACAACATCCACGGTGGACTATTGCCTCCATAAAAATCAACAATGACTCTTACAACCCATGATCATTGAGAACTACATTCATTACAATGAGAATATAGCTATTATCTATGAATTAGTGTTGTTTATTTACCATAATCAAATTTGTAGCTCCATATTCCCTAATTCAGGAGAAGAATGACTTAATGTGCTCACCATTCATAGTGGATTGTTTCAATTGTGTTAGTCCCCATGTTTTTTTTTTCCATTTTCCAGGGTTTTCCATATAAAAAGTTGAGGTGTCTTCTCTGCTTTCTTCTCCCTTTAATTATGTAAGTATGTACTTTGTTTTTGTAACACAAAGTTGATAATTCATCACTCTACCATCGTGGACATTCTGGCACATCAATATTAACACTATATGATTCACATGTATTTTTTTGTAAATTAATATTAAAATATGTTTAATTTTAAAAAGTTTGTGAAAGAGATGAACTGAACTATTCACATTACGTCACGTGGCAACTCCTGATAAAGGTGCTCGTTTGGCACAACAACTTAGCCACATATCATCAAGTCGACTTTTTAGATTTTGTAATTTTATTTTAATTTGTCATCTTTTTAATATTAAACTTTTAAGGATTATTTTTTAATTTCTCCTCTTTGATTTGATTCATATTCAACTAAAATAAAAAATGGTCCTTTTGGATTGATTTTGATTATTGAAGCCAATGTTATTAGTTTTATAAAATGTTTTTTTTATTATTATTAATGAAAACCATTTTATATTCATATTAATAAAATTATACTATGATATGTGATTTTCTGTTACCACTAAAAAAATCAAGAAACCGGAAATCTAGTACGAGTTGTAGAGCTAAGTTTTCCTCAACAATGGCGACCTCCTCTTTCGCTTCGTTGGCGACGGCGGCATCCACGCTGAAGGATTCTCCGGTCTCTGCCTCTCTCTCTACAGCGCATCCCCACAAAACCCTCCTTCTTCACCCCCTAAACCCCCTCCTCCCTTCACTTTCCACCAGGTACTCATTTCCCCCTTTCCTATTTACTTAGCTGCTTTGATTTCTCATCGTAGTTTTCTAATCTGATATCGCAGGTGCAGGATTCATAGAAACCTAGCAGGAAGATCGAGCTTCCCTAAGGCCATCTACAACCCGAACTTCTCCCGGACTTCCTATCAGGATAGCAGGAAGGGGATTTGGTCGATTAGGTGAGTTTCTCTGTCTCTTCTTATTCATATGCGTTTCTCTTTTGATATTGAAAAATGTGATGTTCTGTCGAGCTATAGGGAAGATTTGCTTGTGCCATCTTCTCCCTACTTCCCCGTGGAGGCTCAGGGCGGACAAGGCCCACCGCCAATGGTGCAGGAGCGGTTTCAGAGCGTTATTAGCCAGCTATTCCAGCATGTACGATTTGGGTTTGCTTGAGTGTGATTATATCTTGGTTTTTTAAGATGAAACTATTAAGTTTTTTCTTTCTTGTAGAGAATTATACGCTGTGGTGGTGCGGTCGATGATGACATGGCAAATATAATTGTAGCGCAGCTTCTTTATCTCGATGCAGTGGATCCTACGAAGGTATCTTTATGCGTTTGTTTCCCCTTCTGCTATTGGTTTTTTTTTCTATCTACATTTTATCAGAATTACTCTGTTTTATACTGAATTCTACAACAAGCTTTTGAATTTCAAGGCAGGCTTAATGGTGTCACAGTTATTGGGCACGTATTTATGATGCTTGATAAATGTTATCAGATTTTTACATTAGATCTTCATAATGCGTGAGATTTTGAATATTAACAAGATTTGTTATCTATTGTGCTTAATAGGACATTGTCATGTATGTGAACTCTCCTGGAGGATCAGTGACAGCTGGTAAGTTGTTTCTTCTTCCTCCTCTAGGAGGTTTGATCTATTCAATAACTATTGTTAATATGCAAATTCAAATATTTCATATTTCATATTAGGTATGGCTATTTTTGATACGATGAGGCATATTCGTCCTGATGTTTCCACTGTATGTGTTGGATTAGCAGCCAGGTATCAAATTTATGGTATTATGCCTTGTTTGGTAGATTCATACAGTGAACATTGAAGCGTTACATTAAGAAATTCAATGCTCATTTATGCACATTTGCATTTGCACATACCAAGTTTGGAACAAAATAAACTGAGGAAAGTAATTGGCTTTATCCTGCAGGAGAATTCAATATTTTATTCTGAGCTGAATTTTTTCCACTAAAAGGAAATATTTATTCTACAATTTTCAATGTTGTTTAAACCCAGTAGACCCTTTGGTGCATTTAGTATGGCACGTGCAAAATATTTTTTAATATTGGATGTTCCAAAAATGGTTATTGGAATCAACATCCATAGACTATAATGATAGTCTCGTACCGACCATCTGACAGTGTTGTCAACACTTCCTTCAAAGCATTTGTGATAAATCCTTACATCCTAGGCTATAATTTTAGTTACAAGTGTCACTATTATTTATATTCTTTTTCTTTTAATCTTCAATTCTTGATAAACTATTAATCTGTAACTATAATTGATTTAGCATGATCTGTTGCCAGAACCAGACCTTGAATGCATGATTGAGGAGGATGAGTATGACAATCCTTTCTCTCCAATTGTAGAGGCAATAGGGTGGTACAATACGTTCCAATAACCTTGTTATGGTAAGCTATGTTTCTTGAAACATCAATTGATTAACAAGGATAGGAGAGTAGTGTGGTCTTTGATTTGAGAGTATAAGGAAAATTATGGAGAGACCTTTGTAGGGTTTCTAGTTGGCCTCTTATAATAGGGAGACAGGGTTAGGCTGAACCATTACACCCCTTAACATAATAAGGAGAATCAAGATGATTAATCTTTGTGAGAGGGGGTGTAGGCTTAACTTCAAAGGGAGACAATCCTAAGTAATTGAAATTGGCAAATTGTCCTATGTTTATTTGGCTATAGAGAGAGACTTAAAATTGTACAAATTCCTTCATTAATCAATAAAATTTACTACATATAATAATTTAAACCGGGTAACTATGATAATTGATAAGAAATATTCTCTTCTTATTTATGAAATAAGCCTTATTATATTTATGATAATCCCATTTTCTAGATATTCTCTTTGATTTGTTAATATAAGGATCATGTTTAGCAGATGATCAACTAGTTCATCAGTGATACAATTTTGGCATCATATCATGACATTATCAAAGGTTTAGTGCAATGTTTTAAAAGTCGAAATCGGGAATTAAGTCATGTTTTTCTTTGTGAGAAGAGGCGTAAGCCTCTAGGCATAAACCTCAAAACAAAAAAATAAAAAAAAGCTCATAAAATTAAATTTAATCGATGCATTTACGCATGCCACAATCAAACCATTGAGAATTTGATAAAAATGAAAAATATGGTTTGAGGTTTTATCTTGAATTTTGATATTTGGTTGAGAATTTGAAAAATGTATGAGAGGGTGCTTGATTTGTAAATAGAAATGTTTTGGGTGCTCTGTATGTAATTGCCCCTTTCAATTCTACATACATTCCACTCAATTGTTATGTTTTTATATCCCTAACACTTGAACTTGTATAAATAGGGAAAAATAAAAACTAAATTATTTATTTGATTACTACTTGACGATGCTCGACGACAAACAAAGCAGGAAGCCTCGAAGCTCAAAAATGAAACTAGGGACACTTGTTGATGCTTAAAGTAGAGACAACGCTCGGGTCGACGCTCCAAGTAGGGACGACACTTGAAGCAGGGTTGACGCTCAATTGCAAAAGCTACGCTCAGGACAATGCCCAATGTTGAAACCAGAGATGCTCGTCGATGCTCGAAGCAGGTACGTTGGCGACGGTTGAAATAGAAATGCTTGTCGAGGGCTCTGGGGGATGCTCGAAGTTGATCTGTGCTCAGGACTACAGAACTTAAACATTGGATGTCAATCACAGGTAATTTAAATTACATATATCTGAGACATGCCACAAATGCTCGAGGCGAAATGCCTTCGGGCGTATGCCTCAAATAAAAAGGCTAAGCCTCACCCAAAGGATTGAGGCTTAAGCCTTGATTCTACTGTTCAACACCTCGAATTGAGTCACACCTTGAGCTGGATGCTTCGAGCGCTTTTTAAAAAGTGGGTTAGTGTTTATTGAGGCATTAGTGGCTCAATTTCTCTTTGAAAATTTATAGGTATGTTGATTTCTAGATCAAATTAATCAAATTAAAGATAAAGTAATTCCATAGGCAAGCACAAGTTGTCAATTAGAGACTCAATGTTCAAAATTGGGGGACAAAAAATATGGACTATTGGATCAAAATCTAGATTACATATTGATAAGAACAATCCTAGATTAGGATGAGTTTTTAATTTTTTTTTGGATAAAAGATTGTAAATTGAGTTTAAATTTCAAGATAAGATTCTAATATTGTGTGCATTGTTTAGGAATTGGCTTCCTTCTTTTGTGAAGTCAATCTATGATGTATAAGATCAATTTTTAAATTATTGTCTAATTTAATTTCAATGAATCTTATTTTATCGAAATTTTCTTCTCTCTTTTTCTAAAGCAAAAGCCATTTATTTATCCAACTACTAGCCTCCTAGCATCAAAATTAAGGAATCTAATTTTTTAATTGATTCATATATTTCTTCCAGAAAATACTGAAGCACGTTCTATCCTTCTTAGACTCTTACTTATGAACTAATGTCATAACGTTGAGAGAATATGTTTGGATTAAGTTGGTATCAAAGTACTCGTTATTAATGCATGATATATATAAAAAAAAGCAGGCGTCAAGGAATGAGAAAACGTCCTTTTTCCTAGACTCACACTGAAAGAAAAGAAATAAAATAAAACAAAAATAATCTTTGAAAATGGTTTATCTTTTAATTGAGCTGAACAAATGACTAGATTAATAAAACTAATATATCTTTTAATCCAACAGAACAAATGACTAGATTAATTGCACTAATATTGATAAAGTGGATGAAGATGTAGTCTGCTGCCACTATGTCAAAGCTTAATGATCTTCTTGCACTATTTTTGGCTTTCATGCCCACTAATAATTCGTAAAGCAAATGATGTTAATATATAAGATGATGATGAGAATGATAGAATGGATGCCAATACAATAAGTGAATGATAAAGTAGACCCTTTAAAGCAGAGTTTTCCACTTATGAAGGTATGATCAATATAGAGAAACATAACTTGTGACTATGGATTAACTAATTGAAAAATATACTTCACTTTATATGGGTACACTACATATGATGAGGTGTTGTTTGTTTAAATTAAACTAGGCCACAATGTTTGAGCTTGGTAGAATTTCCACTTGAATGGAAATTTTCATCAATAAATAGCTTTTGGGTGGGTGAAGCGACTAATACATCTAGAGTTCTACTGAATGGATTATGTTGAGGATCTGTGGATGAAAATGACACAATCTTGGACAATATCAATGATATTATGTGCAAGGTTACACCACATGGTTTAGGAGATAAATAATGATTTCAGTTAAATTTGGAGACATGTAGATCCAAACTGACAAAGGACTTTGCCCCTCACATCAGTCACATGGATCTTAGCAAGGCTAGTACTATGGTAATGACCATAGAGTTGAAATAGATGTAAAAAATGATAAGCCCCAAGAACCTATTAAAGTGGAAGAGAATTGTACCATCCAAAAGATGAGGAAAAAAGTGAAAGTATTTTCTTCGTAAAGGTTTATGACTATTGTCAACTTCTTGACCACTCTAAGGATAAATGTTGAAAATGGACCCTTAATTCTTTCTTGAGAAGTGAAAGAATGATGCAAAAAATGAGACTTGCTACTATAGTGGATAGCATCATGTTGAATACAGAGGACAAGGTGAATGTATTTGCATTTTTAATGGCAATGCCAAAGGATAGCAAGGTGGGATGGTTATTCAATCTTGAAATACAAAAGTAGCTATTGAACTTAAGGATATAGGTTGAGCAAGAGATAATTAATTCATCCTCAACATTGGCAACAATAATAACTTAATCTCTTCCAAATTAATATAGAGATTTGGTTTGGAGACTATCCCCCCATCTAAATCCTTGTACTCTTGGGCTAGATTTAGGAGTTCTAGCTAAAGATTGACCGTGAATGCCAAGTGAAGTTCAAAATCATCAAGGACTCAATTAATGAGATGTGTTGTGAGTTAGTTTCGTTTGACATCTTTTAAATTATTTTTGGTATTCTGTAGTTTCATGATTGATTTGCAATGTTATTTCATATTTCCTATAAGTGTCTGATAACTAAGGATGGGAGGAAGTAAATGTTGAAGGACTATGGAGTACCACCAACTAGGTAATTAAACTTAAGAAAATTTTTATCACTATCTGCCATGCTTATCATGGATGGAGTTTTATTTTGTTACTATTGAATAAGGTTAAAGATTTATAATTAAAATAACTATCAAAAACAGTACGTAGCACTCTTCTAGGAGGTGCAATGTTTGCCTCCAAATTAGCCATTGAGGATGATGTCCAACTGATTTCAAATGCAAAATTGCCAAATCTCTCAATGTAATCAAATTTGGTCATGTAGTATAAGGAGATTAGAAAGTGGGTTATAGAATTGCTGGATCATCCAACCTTGTATTTTATTTTGTGTATTACCAAAGGTGATTGCCCTGAAAAAGGATGACGCAGGTAGGTTGTGTTGACAATCACACCCTCAACAAATAGTGATAAAAATCATTAGAGTGTGGAAGATTTCTTTCAGGACAATTCATGGGCTAGATAAGTGGTTGATGATGACATACATACTTTAGAACTCCCCACTACATTCAAGAGATTGATGAACAAAGTTTTTCAGTCGTACTTATATGACTTTGTTAATGCCTTTGTAGATAACATTTTGATTTTCATCAAATTGTGGGATGCGCACATGGAGCATGTGAGAAAGTCAATCTATGATAGCAACGCCAACTTAATCTCAACCAAAATAGGCATGAATTTGCCAAACACTCCCACATATATTTCAGATTTGAGGTGGAAATTGAATGATCAAA